CTTTCTTCCTCTCTAATGCTCTCTAGGGTTCCAAGAGGTGTGGGGTGAGAGTGGAGTGAAAGAAATGAGGGCAAATGGGATGAAATGAGGTTTAAAACACCTCAGTCCCAAAATTCACTATTCACAGTCTGTATTGATNAAGCCTTTTTTTCCCTCAAATTTAAATTTATTCTTGTATAAATTGATGTTAACCTAATAAATATGTTTAATTAATAAATTATTTAGCATATCTTTATAAATTAATGGATTGCATTTGTGTTTCTATGCGTTTCCATATTTTTTCTGCGTTTCCATTGCGTTTCCGAAATGTTTCCGAAACGTTTCTATTTTTGAGTTGACCGAAACGGTACTTCGAAACGAAATTTTGATCCTTGATTGTAGCCATTTAATCTGAGGTGAGCTCATGGATGATCGAGGAGCAACACAGTGAAATGACCAAATGCCACTCTTCAGTCCTTTTCTTTTACTGTAAACTTAAAACCAGGGTGTATTTTGTCCAAACAATGTGAGGGAGAGCAGGTGTTCCCTAATGCAGGGAACGTTAGCATCCTCTTTAAGCTAGACTTCATCTTCGAGTCAAAACCAATAAGAAATAACAAACAGAATAAAACTTTTCACTCTAAATTGATATGCTTTACTACTTGGAAGCAACTTCTCAATATTGAAAGAAGTGAGACAGTAGAAATCAGTGGAGGGTTTTGTTGTATTCTTAGTATTCAACTGGACTGGAGAGCTGTTGCTTTACTAATGAAGAGTGAGTCGTGAGTATAATAAGTTTATAGTCTACCACCAAATATAAGGCTAGTGATGAAATTTCAGTTATTTGTTTTACTTTGTCATTTTGTTGCAAGCATTCCCTTGTTTCTTTCTCTCTCTCTCTCACACACACACACATTGCCTGTGTTTGCAGTTTTGAAGGGTAATTCAACTTTTCCAGACAAGGCACCATCTTCTAACTCTTCCCTATTTCACCAGCAGTCAATTGAAGTATCTCCTTCTGGGTAAGTTGTAGCCTGTAAGCATCAACCATCCCATATGCCCAGATGTATGTAGGCACAACTTTGCTTGTAATATATCACATATATTGTTAATAACTAGTGAGTTACCATCCTAAAAAGTTGCATTTGCTTTTACCATTCGTGATTTGTAGGTAAGTGCCTTAAAATGTTTCAGAAAACTGGTGCTTTTCTTGCTTGAATGCTCATTTTGTGAGTGCCTACCAGTAAGTTTGGTCTGCTCTCGACAAGTGGCCACAAAGGAGCGAGCCCGACTTTCTAGATAGTACAGAATTTGATATTGTTATTAAAAGAATAGATAGGATTGTAAAATTATTTCAATTTGTCACATCTAAAAATGTTTTATGCCTTTAGTGCCTTTTGTGGTTGTTTTATGTATATTCTGGAGCTATACTCTTGTCCATGGACTAGGCTGGTCACTTGTCCATGACGCTGACTTGAATTTGTTGCGCTTAAGGGGCAAAGCACGTTGCAAGCCTTTTTCTTGGTTCAAGTAGTTTTTTCTCTAACTCTATTAAGCTTTGTTTCAGGAATTCACTTAGAGTTGCTTCGCTTAGGCAACTTTCCAACAATTTTGCCCAGTTCAATAATTTGCAAACCCCACTTCGTTCGAGAAAGCCCCTGACCAGAAAGGTGCATATGCATATCTGACTTATTTTTCTATCTAGTTTTTGGTTAAAGAATAGCTCATTTTATCTGGCGAGCAATTCCAGGATGCTGCAGTTATAAATGAATGGAGGTTTTTAAAATTGAAAGAATTCAAGGAGAGCAACATTGAAGTAGGAAATAAAGCCTTTGACAGCTACATGCATAATATTAGCTTACTGGAGGAGGTGTTTTCCGTAAATTCTACACTGGTCATGCATACTGAGGATGGGTCCTCCACAGAAAATGCCAACTCTAACGTGGAAGACAGAAATAACATGGGGATTGAAGGGTTAAAGTTGAAGCTTAGATCAAACCCAATTAGAACTGAAAATTTTAGAAAGAGGATGCAATACATTATTGATCAGGGATTACGGAAGGTTAGGAAATTTGACTCAAGCGATGGTGACAGTGGCCTCAACGAGCAAGACGAGCTTGTCAACAGGCCAAAAAAGATTAAGTCTTGGAGGGCTGAGAGGGCCTCCGTCATGAATGATCTTATTGATAAGCTGAACAAAGCACGTAACGAGGAAGATTTGAAAGCTTGCTTGGAGATGAAATCCCAGCTCTACAATCAGCATACCAACACCAGCCAAGTGGATTCTGAAGATATTGAGGCATCAAAGCAGCAGAATACTAGAACTGATTTGTCATCCAAACAACAATCTGTTTATTCTCCACAAAAATGGTTTAGCACTAGCACTATTAATCAAGATGTTCTCCACCAAATTGATGCACAATTTTCTTCTCTTGAGGAGATAGAAGATCTATAATTTTGATCTGGATTTCCTTAGTTGGGAGTTTGTATTTCAGTTACTATATGGACAGGACTAAATGGTCTGGTATTCTAACTTAGATGGTTACCTTGATATTGTTACCAAACAGATTAGTGTTGATATGGCAGATTCATTTAATTGATATGTAGTTTTGAGAGCATGTATATTGTTCTGAAGCCCATTTGCTCCCAAAAATTTAGGTAGGTGGTGAAACTCACCCATTTGGTTTGGGTTATATTAAATTCTAAAGTCTACCTCAGGGCCATTTCATCAGTTTTCTATTCTTTCTGAATATGTAATGGAACAATATTTTAGCACTTGCATACCACAGGCTGGATATAATGGTGTCCAGACGGTTGTCCACAACAGGTTTGAGATGATGAAATTGATTGAAGTTTGTGTGTTGGTACTCTAAAAGTTCAATTAGTGCTACCGTTGAACTACCTTTACTTGGAAACAAGGGAGAAGAGTTTGAAATTGTTAGGGTGGTTCAATAGTTAAATCTGTTGTCTTTTAAAAAGGTTTTAAGTTCGATATTTTTCACACTTTTTAAGGGTCAGTTACACTTGTTCTTCAGGAGGCATGTTCTTAAATTAGTTTGAGTTACGGTGATCGACTCAGAATTTGAGGGAATAGCTAGCGTAAATCTAGACATCTTGTAAAAAGGGAGAAGAGTTTGAAGGCGTAGAAAATTTTTCATGGTCCACACGTATAGAGATGGTCAATGGACCAATAATCAAATTGTCACAAGGGCTGTTAGGTCTGTCTGGAGTCTGGACTAATAGAAATTTGACTTTCCAAGGCAACTTGTGAGGTGCAGCATCATAACTTAGGCTCTTTGGCCAGAGAAGCCAGTACATGGTCAGAAAGAGACTTCCAGGCAGGCCAAGTATATTTAAAGTCTCTCCCTCTCTCTTTCTCTCTCTTACACTGTACCTTTTAAGAAAATCTAATCTGGTCTGGACTATGTTGTTTTCCAAGTGATATCATGTGGTATCACTCCTATGACTGCTTTGTAGAATATAAATTTTCAAAAGATCATAATTCAGGGTTGGCTAGGATGTCCATGGAAATGGAATAGTCCCCTTTTGTTTTCAACAGCATTTTAAAATTCGATCAAACCTTTGAAATGAATGGCATGTTTTTTTAATAAAGGGATCATTTGCCACCCGTGACGACCCGAACAACCCAGATTTTATTATCCTCTCTATCTTATAATTGTGTATTAAAAAAACATTATTGATTTCGAGAGTACAAACATGATCATTCTATCCCAATATGTTCCTCCATGTGGCATAAAAAAAGTAGCCAAATCACAACCTAAAACAAAAATTTCCTTGGACAACCAAACAAGTCCATGTTCATTGTTTATCTTTGAATCAAAGTTATAAATTAGGTCAGATGGATGGGTGGTGCCTTCTTGAGAAGAATCCCAATGAGTTCATTATGCAGACACCATTGACAAAGAAATTCCATCTTTCTGAATTCTCCCCAAAGTTCATTTCTACCATCTTGCTTTGATATTCTCAAGGGTAGCTCAAGTAACAATAGAAATAAGCAGTAAACTCAAACTTCTTGAGTTAGAATTTTGGCAATCCCTTGAGACTAAATTAATGGAGATTTATCCTTCATGAATACCCTAGTTTCGAAGAAAATGACCTAACTTTGACCGGATCAGTGATAAATTAGTTGAGATATACATAAATTAACCTAAACACACCAGACCATTAAAAAAAAAAACCATTTTGCTTTGATTGTTGCTTATTGGGACAGTGCTTTTCCTTGCTTTATTCTCTTATACACTTCTCAACTCACCACCTTTCTTGGTGGATATCTGTCTTTCTAGGCATTTTCCCTTGAAACAAGGCTGTCATTACTTTCAATTTTTGTGGCTCTGCACATCTCACCATCACCTTTTCATGGGCCTTTTGTATTATTATCAACCCATTATTATAGCCTATGCCCTCCACCATCTTCATCTCAATTATGACTCTTTGTTGCCCATTTCAACTCATTAGACAAACTTATTGACCCACCCAAAGAAGGAAAACACACAAAAACAGTCACATTATTCAAAGAACAAAATGGGGTGAGTAAGTCATTTGATAATTCTTCAAGGTTTAAGATAAAGAATGCAAGATAATTTAGCACGTCTTCCTTAAGCAATGATTAGTGTTTTTTCGTTCAAGTAATACATTATTTCGAGAATCAGTCTCTTCAAAACTAAGGTAAAACTGCCTCCCACTTATTTGTCAAATAGGTGGGGGCTACCCTAGTATGGTGATTACGATCTTATGTTTTGCTTGACCTAATTAATTTAAACTTCCATCCTAGTTGGCCGGGAGGCGTGGGATCTTGTTCTATCAATCGATTGAGCAGCCACTCTGAAGAGAAGACCAGATTCATAAAGAAGATCCTTACAAAAATGTCACTGAACCGGTGAAAACTCATTACCTATTCGCCAAAGTTGAGGCTTTATTAGAGAAGGTGGGATACAACTTCAAGCAGTTTTTATTTTTTTGAAGAAAATGGTAAGTCTAATCAATTTGCTATTCAATTGTTAAAAAAACTTAAATTATACTTTCTTAACTTCTAAATTTCAATTCGTATAAAAGTCGATAGATGCGGTGTGGTTACTATAGCACATGGGGTTATTTGAATCTCTGGAAAACACTAGGATGTGATTTGGAAGATAAAAACCAATAAAAAAAATGGGTTTTCTGTCCTGAATTATAAAAATTCCTGTGATAACATCATTGCCCACAAAATGATTCTTAATTATCACATAGATCAAGTAGAAAAAGGCAAATCATATGCACAAACTGGTTACTATCCTGGAACTTTCATGTCTGGTCACATGCTTTCCATCTGGAGCCTTTCTTGACTCAAATCAAGTGGATTAGTTTTGTTTTTTTTTTTTTAAAAAAAAGCCACACGAAGACAAATCATGATCATGTTGGTGATAAGGATTAATTAAACACTAAAAAATATCACATGGTGATGTGACTATTAAAATAAAAATGTTTAGATTGGAAAGGAAAGGAAGCTCTTCTACCTCCTATGTGAAAAAGTCTTTCTCAAAATGCATCCGTAAAGATTAGTTTGGTGGTTAAACAAGGGGGTAACACTTTAACCCATACATCTTGAGTTCGGGTTCGAGTTTTGAGTTCCATTGGCCGAATAAAAATCCGTGCACATGGTTTTGCATGTTATTGTGTGTATTAATGTTTATATTGCAGCTATAAGTCAAGGGATGCGTAGTTGAAACAAATTCTATTACCCAAAAAACAAAAGTTAAAACAAAATATATGAGCAGTAAAAAAACAAGGATTTATTGTATGGTTTTTGTTTTTTTTTTGATTGAAAAAAAAAAGGTGGGTGCAAAAGAGAGCGTTTAGAGACCATCTCGATAGACCCTCGCTGCTGAGTATCATATGACTCTTAACCGCAGCGTTACACCTTTCGAGAACGAATTTAGACTAACGTAACAGTCAACCATTAAACCTTAATATAAACGCTAAAATTCAAACTTTCAATGGGAAATTTGGCCAGTACTTGGGGTGGTCACTGTGTGGTTGTTGAATATCACAATAAGACAGGTGAATTGATGGCCATTCTCTAATGCCAGTGGGTGATGGCCTGTCCTATGACGCTAAAGGCTTCAGCAGGGCTGTGGTATGCTTTATAGTCAAGTACCACAGGCCACATTTTCTGCAAAACCAATCCAAGATCCACTGGCTGAATAGTTTTATTTATAACTAGTCTTGTTCACTAAAAACTTAAAAATGCTTGGTCTTTCTTCTCGGTAAAGTAGAAAGAGAAAGACAGAGACTGATGAAGCCAACCACACATTGTGTTGGCTAAGTTTTAGGGTCATTTTTGAATCCATGAAAATCTTCTTTGTTCGAATCGTGACAGTTTTTTTGGGTGCGGATCATGAAAAATTTATTTTTCATGAATTACTTAATCTCAATGTAGATGATCTGTCTTTGATCAGACCAAATATTGAATTAGTCAAAATACATGTAAATTGGCCCAGATAGTACTCCTGACCATTGAATGTTACCACGTGTGACATACGATTATATATGTGTGTGTTTGGTGTATCATTCTTTTGTCTTTTTTGGTGTATGAATATTTAGTGTATGGACTAGAATGGGGGTAATCTTATCTGGCCAACCAAGTTGTTGAGTCTTTGACCTGGAAGGTTAAGCCACATTTAAATGGCTCTTAGTGCTCATCATCATGGACCATAAACATAAAAAATGAACCTCAATGTGACATATGAAGGTGGGTTCCTTCAAGCTAAAAAAACTTTGTGTTATTGGAACATTTATTGACCCTCTTCAAATAGATCCAATTTATTAATCGAATTATGTTTAGTAAACCTCTAATTAAAGTTGAGAATGGGCATTCATTACGAGAGACTCTCACACTAGGGTTTTAAAAAAGTCGAATGTACACAATCTTTTTCTTCTACGTAAGAACGAATTATTTTTGTAATTTGAAATCCCGTGATGATCAGTTCACAATGGAACAACTTATAGTTGATCATCATTAGGACTTAGCCAAGCCCGTGAATCTAATCCTCATGTCATGGATGAAAGTGATCTAGAAAAGACATTTTTAGGTTAGTTACGCCAACCTAAGGAAATGATCCAAACGAAAGACAAAACTTAGTATTCAATATTTGAACATCGTATATGGTCACTTGTGGGACTGACTCAAAACTCTCAACAGCTGCAATTTGGCCTATCCAATTTGATTGCCCCAAGATACTCCACCTAGAAATGGCTTATCCCTAAGTTCAAGAAACACAATTTTATTAATGCTTGATGGACACTAAATTGGATATAAGATTGTGGGATGAGGTCAAAGAAAGCAGGTAACGCTCCTTTTGTGTATAACACGTTGTGTCATGTTTTATAAGGGATTTAAGGGGACAATTCAACCATTTGATTCTAAGCACAATTAATGTTTATGTAAAAGTCATTTCCCATTGATATAATGAATGTCCATGACATGATGGTAAAACATATTGTACTCGGTATACAAGACTTGCTTATATAAGAAGTTTTTGGGAGATGTATGTTGGTATACAATTTTACCGCCACTTCAAAGAGATTGGTTCTAGACTCGACTTTGTTGATCACTCA